TATTTGGCGGCGTTAGGGGTATTTTGGTATGTAGTTACAGCTTGGAAACATTGCTGCACATACTTGAAAGCACCTTCGCTTGTGTTGAAAGGAAATTGATCACCAAGGATACGTGATACGTGATAAAGTGCTGTTTGATTAACCTACCAAGAGCCTTCAAAAACAACTCGAGCTCTTCTTTCAACAGCATTTTGGATTGTAGGTTAAAGGTATTTATCTTTAAGGAATCCTTCTAGTCCAGTTTTGACTGTGCATTGTTTGTATTTTGTGTCTTTTTTTTGAACAGATTTGCACACCGTTTTTGAAATTTACAACGACTGCTTGAGAACGTGGATGATCGGTCACTTACAAGTTAGACAAGGACGTTCTAGACATTTAGAAAAATATATTATTTCTAAAAAAAAAATAGAGCAGATAAATGGTAAATATTTACTTGGTTTTTTTTTGTTGTTCTTTGTTTATGTCTTCGTTTACTTTACATTTTTGTGTTTTTTTTTTGGGAATATATACTTCATCATCGTTGATTCCCTGCCATTTGTAGTGTATTTACATTGAAATGGTGACAATGCTTGAATTAAACGGAATTGACAAAATTCTTTTGATTAATGGGAAATTGCTGAAATAACAACAGTTCATATTACATGCAACATCTAAAGAATCACTTTTCAAAATACACTCTTTGTTTTAATTATTGTGAAATACAAGTCCTCTTTTATAATCTAAACATCATCGTCGAACAAATTGTTACACTTTTTCATAATTTATAAATTGTTAACGATTACAATTTTTATTCATTCTTTATTGAACGTGTACATTGTATAACAATTAACAAGTTTACAAGCGAGAAGCTAAAAGTGACGAGAAAATGCCACAAATGCAGAGTTTCTATTCGTAATGCAAATTCTTATTTGTTTTATTTGAAACATTATTATTCGTTTTATTCGTTTTATTCGTTTTATACGAATAGAAGAAACCCTACGTCGATATAATTAATGTCTTATAAATTTTCTTTTATTATTATACACCATCAATGTTTTATTCGTTACCAATCTAATTGAATTTTATTGATATTTTTATTCGTTGCTAATTGTTAGATATTACGTAATTTCTAATTATTTTTCATTTGTTATATCATTCAAATTGGACGTCGCAGTGGGTAAGTGAGCAGCACAAACACCAAATTATTTACGATGGAGCTGTCATTATCATCGTCATCAATGATAATTGTTTGGATGAGGGAAATCTGGAAAAAACCACCTCGAGGAGTTTTCCATCTTGAGCATTTTTTGCGAGACTTTTAAAAATCATCAATTATTATTACGTATATATTCTATGTTGTTCTCTCGTATACAAAATAAACTAATGTGCCTTCCTTGAAGTCGCTATTTTATAATCGGTAAAGCCCCCTTTCTCTGAATGTGGTTAAGCTTGATTTATATATAACGCTTCCACTCATCACATTTTCGGCGGAAGAGACAGTCTTGATGAAGCATGTAGATAAAAAAATGGAAGACATGATTTTTTTAAAATTCTTCATTTTATATTTTGTTTCATTGCTTGAATCAGAAGTCACTTATTGAATTCTATTTTAATAAAAAAAATTTTTTTATTTTATAATTAAAATGTTGAAACATTTAACATTGGCTTGATTATTTAAACAATCAAGGCATGATGTATAATAAATACCAAAACTAA